TTTTTGGTATAAGTTATAAGTTTTTGGTTTTTTTAAAATTTTTTTGACTTTTAGACTAAAACACTTGCATACCAAACGAGGCCTCAGAAATTGTTGTTCTTGAAGTGCATTTATTAGAAACCTTTTTAAAAGTTTTGTTGTCAAAAGTATGTTTTTTACTTTTCCGGATGATCTTTTATTGAAGCTCTCATGATGATAAGAATTGGCCTCCCAATGTTTTTTGTAAAAAAATTTCACTTTTGAAGATGAAAATTTTTGATTTCATATATTGTAGTGATATAAAATATAAGCAAAAATATTATTGCCTCTTTGAGGCCCAAAATTCTAATCTAATTTTCCTATATTTTAAATTTTTAAATGTAAAAAATATATTTGTAATTATACTATTGGTTATTTCCATTTTATTGATATTTTTCTTACCATTTAATTAAATAGTCTAATAATCAATATGGTAAGTTTTATTTTTATTTTTTGATTATAAATGTGACAAAGAATTTGTAATAATATGAGTTGACTCATTTAATTGTATCTATAATTTCATAATTAAAAAAATCCTTATATATGTAAAAAAATGTATTTATATAGCCATATTTAATCCATATCTAATTTTAAATTTGATTTTTTTAATTCAAAAAATTAGCATAAAAATCAATTTGAACTCCATTTCTAGGCTACTTTTAATGTTTAATCTAATATTGACACCTTCAATATAGCTCATATTCGTCACAACATAACAACCTACTTATTTATACCCTTTATACTATTATATAAGTAAAAATATTATTGTCCCTTTGAGACTAGTCTATTTACGTGTTCCATTCTCTGACCCCCCTCTTTTTGATTGGTTCATGTCATCTCTTTTGATAACATATTAATTCTTAAATTATTTTTATTTATTAGACTTAATAAATATGGCAGCACAATATCTAATAACAATAATAGGTAACAAATATAATTAAAATAGAAAATAATCATTTCTAAATGAAAACTTCTTGATCTGCTAATATAGTAAAATCCTAACGTTCTTGAACTGCAAATCATCAGGAAATAAATAAATAATACAAACGGAACAGATGTTCAAACGGAGGCATTAAGGGATTGTTTAGCATTATTTAAATAAGTAGATTTTTTAATTTTTTATGAAAAAATATGTAGAAAAGTAAAGAGGTGATGCGATCAAAAAAGATAAAAAGAAAAAAAAAATAGTAAAAATTCCTCCACTGAACCTTATTTGGTGAAAATAATAATCTAATTTATTTTATTTCATAAATCTCCTAAGGAAGAAGCGCAGGACAGAGTAAAATTTTTTTTTTTTTCTTGGACATATATATTTATATATATCACAAAACTCTTTTGACGAGGAACACTTTTATTTTATTTTATGCATGTTTAAAAATATTATGTATGTATATTTTTGATTGGTTCATCTAGTATATATTCTGTCTTTTGTAATAGTAAAATGTTACTGTAAACTAAAATAATATGTTACTGTTTACGTCAATTTTCGACGGTATTTTTTATATTTTTATTTTTAAAGAATTTCATAGATAATATGAATCTTATTTGATAGATCTTGATAAGAGGATTATAAAAATACTAATTTTATTAAAAATCGGCATGTAAATCAAAAGTTATATTATTTTAAAGTTTAAAATATTAAATTACTCACTAAATATATATTAAAATTTTATTATGAAGATATTTTGACCAAATTTTCCGATAAAAAGCATGCTAAAAAATTCAAACGGAGGCATCAAAAGTTTCCTAATGGAAAAGAACTACAAGAATGAAATAAACTTTCACAAACATTGGAGTAACTTTGGTATAAAACTCTGTTTTATTGAGTTTACTTTGTTCAGTTAAGTTTTCACAACTTATCTTTTTAATTATTTTGAAAAACTAATGATTAGTTTGGCAAAATAGACATAAAAAATAATGAGGGATTTTATTTTCAATTTTTTCCCTGAGGCAGTTTTTGAAAAATAATTTTTTAAAAAAAATTAAAAACTCGATCAAATAGTGACAAATGTGTATTTTTCTTTTTGTTTCATCGAAATCAAACATAATCTAATTTGAGGGAAAGCACATAAGACAGACAGAGAGTAATGTACCTATTATAGTAAAGGATTCTTAGTAATAGAAAAGGATTTTTTTTTTCTATTTTAATTATATTTGTCACCTATTATAGTTATTACGATATTTAACTTTCATATTTATTAAGCCTAATAAGTAAAAATAATTTAAAAATTAATATGTCATCAAAAGAGATGACAAGGACCAATCAAGAAGAGGGGGCAGAGGATGGAGCACCTAAATAGACTAGAAGTGTTACATTTCCAATGTTCTAATCTATATTTCTAAATTTTTTAAATATAAAAAATAAACTTAATTATACTATTGATTCTTTCCATCATATTAATATTGTTCTTATCATTTTAATTAAATACTCTAATAATAAATATGGTAAGCCTTCAAATTTTCTTTGATTATAAATGTGGTAAAGAATTTACAATAATTTGAGTCGACTCATTTATGTATCTATAATTTAAAAATTTAAAAATCTTATATAAAAAGTAAAAAAAAAAATCTAACCATATTTAACCCACATTTAATCCATATCTAATTTGAAATTTAAATTTTTTTAAAAAATTTCAAATATAACTGTAGTCTTATATAATTCCAAATTTAAAAAATATATATATTTAAAGATATTAACCAAAATTTTAATTTTAAAAAAATAAAAAATACACGCAACATTTAAATTATTTTTTTTAAAAATAGGCATCAAAATATTTACTTCATTCAAAAAAAAATTAAGAATTAAATAAACAAATGGCCAAATAACTCATTGATTGAGCATGAGCCAAAACAATTTTCTAAAGACAAGACTTGATCTAAGAATTAGCATAAAAATCAATTTGAACTTCATTTCTAGGATACTTTTAATGTTGAATCTAATATAGCTCATATTTATCACAACATAACAAACTATGTATTTATACCCTTTATACTATTATATAAGCAACAATATTATCGCCCCTTTGAGGATTAATGTTCTAATCTATATTTCTAAATTTTTTAAATATAAAAAATACACTTAATTATACTATTGGTTATTTCCATTTTATTGATATTTTTCTTATCATTTTCATTAAATATTCTAATACTCAATATGGTAAGTTTTTAATTTTTGTTTGGTTATAAATGTGGCAAAATAATCTACAATAATCTAGGTTGACCAATTTAATCATATCTACAATTTCGGAATTTAAAAATCTTTACATAGGAAGTACAAAATAAAATAAAAATTTATCCATATTTAAACCATATTTAATCTATATCTAATTTGAAATTTAAAAAAATTTAAAAAGAAAATTCTAAATTAATTGTAGTCTTAAACAATCACTACAAGAATAAACACATTTGCCGACTAAAGATTTGGTCAGCAAAAGTCCAATTTTTGGTCGGCAAAACATATTCCCGACCAATTTTTTTGGTCGCCAAGTTGGTCGGCAATTGAGGGTCGCGGAAAGTAATTAGCGACTAAAAAGATTTTTAGTTGGCAAAACGTTCTATTTAGCGACTAAATTGTTGGTCGTTAAACATATAATTATCGCGACTAACCTATTTAGTCGCGAAAAGACTTTGGTCGGCAAAAATTACATTCAACGACCATACATGTTAGTTGCTAATTTGGTCGGCAAAAATTACTTTGAACGACCAACAAAATTGATCGGCAAAAATTACATTCCACGGCCAAAACTTCTTCGTCGCTAAATAATAGTTTCTACGACCAAAAAATTTGGTCACCATTTGTTAATTTTCGCGACCAAAACTTTTAGTCGGCAAAAGTGAGATTCCACGACCAAGAGTTGTTTTGGTCGGCAATAGATGCATTTTTTGCGACCAAAATTCTTGGTCGGCAATTGTCATTTTTTGCGAAAAAAAATTATTTATTTGTCCCCACTAATAAATTGGTCGCCAAAAATAGGAAAACAATACACCTGGAATTCCTAATAATCTATTCAATCCATAATAAACCTATTAAAAAAAATATAATCAAAACCAGTTTCTATGTTATATGCTTCCATGACCATCCTTTTTTTTTTTGGTCTTTAGTGAATTTCTTTTATAATTTTATTTTTAAAATTTTAAATTGTATTCTAATTTTTTTGAAAACTACTTCTGCACAAAAATAAAAACAACAATACTCAAAACATCAAAATGAAAACAATACCAATCAGTTGCCACTCGATATTTGTCATCACTACCTCTAGTTGCCTTTAGGAATGTTGAGATCTGCAAATACCGGGCTGTCAACTCCTACTCCCATTGCATTGAGACTGTTGTCAACATACACAACAGCACCGGTGATTGCTGAAGCCATTGGCGATGAAAGGAAGGCAGCTGTATACCCCACTTCCTCTGTAACATTTGTTTGTCAAGCTCAGTGTATGGCAAAGTAAAAAGCATAGAAAGAATATGAAAATGGAGTTGAATTGCAATTTAGTCAAACATTGTGGTTTTAAAATTAGAAAAGGCAAGTTAGCCCAATGGTAAGGTTAGCGTCCCTGTGATGTGGGTTTGAGTCATGAAAATAACCTCTCCAAAAATGACGATAAGGCTGCATACTTTTTCCCCTTCTCAAATCTCACTTTAGCAGGAGCCTTCTGCATTGGGTTGCCTTTTTAAAATGGGGTTTAAATTATTTGTGAGCAATGTTGTTGGCAGAGAACTCGTTTAGTTGCTTCTATGGCTTTAGCCATTTGCCACAGCAACAACGAACCAGTCCTGCCCGGTATGCACACACACATGTATAGATATGGATATCATGAAAGGTAACTCAATTACACCAAAACACACTATGGGACACCAAATGAAGAACAGTAAAAGGGACTTGCCTGCAGAAAGTTCTTTCTGCAATGGGGCATTAGCCATTGAGTAGTCGATCATCATATCAATAAAGCAAATTTTATTGCTATTATATCCCGTTACACAAAAATGTCAAATCTACAATCTCTGTCTTCTCACAATATCACAAATTTAGACACCATCAAATACATTAAAACAAATAAAAATAAAACAACCAATGTTTTATCAGCACGTCAAATTCAAAACTTGAAGTTCCATTTTTTGAGAAACATATTTTTTTCCTGAGAAACAGGGGTACATTCAAATTCATTAAAAGCTTTGATATTTCTTGCAATCCCAGTAATGCATTTTCAATCTTCAAATTTCAACAATTAAATCAAAAACTATGATATATCCATATACTCAAACACATGCATATACATATCATATATATCCATAACATGAGTATATATTACCTCTCTGTTTTTCCCCTCTAGCATCATCTTGAGCTCAGTGATCTCTCCTTCCTGCTCCTTATTCTGACTCAAAAGCTCCCTCTCACTCCTAAGCACCATAGCCAGAGTCCTCGTATTCGATTTCACCTCCGTCAAAGCCTTCTTCTCACTCCCCACCGACCCCGACCCCAACCCCTTTCCAAACAGCTTCCGATGCAAACCGGAGAAATTCGACCCATTCTTTGCAGTCTTCTTCAAATCCTCCGCTATAAAATCCGCCGGAATGACCAAATTCGCCGCCTTCTTCGGCTTTGCCGCCCTCTTCTCTATCAATTTCTTCACCATTGCACTAAAATTCTCATCGTTCTTCACTCTCACCTGAGCTACGTCCGACGATTTGGCCTTGACGATGGCACGCGAAGAGTTGTGCTCTGCTGCCGCGGCCGGAGATTGGCTCCGGCGGGCGGTGGATCCGGCGATGAGGCGTTTGAGGGAGGATTGCTTGGGTTTGTTGAGCTCGGTGGAGGACGATGGATCGGACTGGTGAGACTGAGTCGAAGATCGAGAATCGAAAGAGCTGTATCGCAATGCAGCGGATTTGATTGAAGCCATTTTTGGGTTTGGGAGTGATTGATGTGAAGATCTGTGAGTGATTTTAGCGTTTGAATCTCAAGATAGGGTGAGCATTTCTAGGGTTTCTGATGAGAGAAAGAGAGAGAGATTGTCTGAAATCTGAGACATAAAAAGGGGAGAGGCGTGTGGCAGAGATTGGTCGTGATATGGGGGGAGTGGCTTCTTGGCGCTGTTTGAATTCAAATTTTCGCGTGAGAGGCGCGCGGTGCTTTCAGCACACCGGTGATCAAAAAGTATAATTTGATGAAAAGTTATTTTTATGCTAAATTTGGGAGTTGATTTTTTTAAATAATTTTTAATTAAAATATAATGTAAAAAAATTAATTTTATTTGAGGTATTTTTTTAGTTTATTACGAAAAGATATGTAAAAAATAGGAAGAGATGGTGGCGATAGTAGTAGTAATGGTAGTCGTAGAGGTGAAGTAGCGACAGTAGAAGTAATAGTGGTGGTGGAATGGTGTTTGCAGTAGTGGTGAAGGTGATAGAAGAGATGGGTGGTGAGAGAGAGTGATAGACAGAGAGACACAGAGATAAGGGAGAGAGTGATAGATAGAGACACACAAAGATAGAGAGAAGAGAGATGAGCGAGAGAGATAAAGAGACGAGAGATGAGCGAAAGAGACAGAGAGAGAAAAGAGATAAGAAAAGAGATGAAAGAAGAGATAGATGAGTGAGAGACACAGAGATGAGGGAGAGAGTGAGCAATGTGAACACAATGGGAGAGAGAGATAAACAGACAGATAGACACATAGAAAGAAAGAGAGAGAGAGAGAGAGAGAGAGAGAAGAGTGAGAGACAGACAAACAGACACAGAGAGAGAAACAAAGAGAGAAGAGTGATAAGTGAGAGAGAGATAAAGAGAAAGAGATATAGAGAGAGACAGACAGAGAAAGAGATAGAGAGAGACATATAGAAAAATAGAGAGAAACAAGCGATGAGAGAGAAATAGACAAATAGACAAGTAGACAGAGAGAGATAAAGAAGAGTAACGAGTGAGAGAGAGACAGGGAGAGAGAGATAGACAGAAAAAGAGAGAGAGAGGGATGAAGAGATAGAAAAAGAGGAAGAAACAAAAGATGAGCGAGAGATAGACAAAAAGAGAGAGAAATAAAAAGAGAAGAGTGATGACTGAGAGAGAGACAGAGAGAGAAAGAGATAGAGACAGAGACAGAGAGAAACAAATATTTTCGCAACCAATTTTTTTTTGCAGATTAAAGGAAAATTCAAACCCTCTATCTTCTCTCTCTCAGATTAAGGTTTGCTCACTGTTCTGAAACAGTGTTGTGAAATTAAGGCTCTACAAACCTGAAAGGAAATGAAAAAAAAATGGGGGGAAAAGGTAGAGGGAAAAAAGTGAGGAAATTAAGTTTGGGTGGGCAGTCCGGTGAGTCAGTGAAAAATGGGGGGAAATTAGTTTTATTGTTATTTTATTGAATTTTTTTTTTAATTTGATAGAAGTAGGGGTACTATTTTAATGAAAAACATTTTTCGTTAAAATAAAGTTAATTTTTTATGGTCGATGAAAAATATTTTTTGTGACCCATTTTTTTTTTTTTTTAGTTACTAAAAATCAAGAGCTAATTTTTTGTGGTAGAGGAGAGGAAGCGGTAGTAGTAGTGAAGGTGGTAGATAAAAGGTGAGGCGGTGGTGGTGGTAGTGGTGACGGCGAAGGAGATTAGTGGTGAAATTGTGGTAATGGTGGAGGAGATGGAGTGGCGGTGGTGGAGGAAAGGTAATAGTAGTAGTAGTAGTAGTGGTAGCAGTGGTGGTAGTGGTAGTGGTAGTGAAATGGTACTAGTAGTGGTAGTAATGGTAGTCGTAGAGATGGAGTGGCAACAGTGGTAATAATGGTGGTAGTGGAATGACATTTGCAGTAGTGGTGAAGGTGGTAGAGGAGATGGGTGGTGAGAGAGAGATGGGTGAGAGACAGATAGAGAAGAGAGATAGAGAGAGAGAGACAGAGTGATGAGTGAGAGAGAGAGAGAGAGACAAAATGGTCGCTAAAAGTGCATTTTCTTGTAGTGAAGAGCTCGGTAAATAGAAAAGATGGGAGGGAGAGAGTGGGCAAGATGAACACAATGGGGGAGAGAGACAGACAGACACACAGAGAGAAATAAAGAGAGAAGGATGATGAGTGAGAGAGAGAGAGACAGACACACAAAGAGAAAGAGAGAGAGAAGAGTAATGAGTGAGAGAGAGAAAGATATATATATATAGAGGGAGAGAGAAAAAGAGATAGAGAGACAGACAGACAGACAGAGAGATGAGTGAGTGAGTGAGAGTGAGAGAGAGAGAGAGAAGCAGAGGCTGTGGCTGTGTGTGTTTGTGTCTGTGTGTAAAACCCTAAACAAATATATATATCCAGGGATAGAACTGTAATTTCACCTCGGGGATTGAGCGGGGCGGGGCCGGGGCCGGGGTCGGGGCCGGGGCCGGGTCTGAAACAGAATGAAGTCTGCTAAAACATGTCACACCCCTGCAGCAGCTTATGGTTGTCACCAACAATAAGAAGCCGTTGATTTACACCTAAGAAGAATACACACGACAATTTGCAATACAAATTCGTTTTGCTGCTACAATGACATGAACCCTTCAAAGTGAGGGGCATCTTACAGCCTGTAGAGAGGGAAAAAAACATATATAGAATACACATTCAGAGCATTTCTACTAAAAAGATGATAGCATCCATTAAATACATTATATAGGCCCTAACTAAAGGATAAACTGAGAAAACTCAGCATAAATTTATTTTTCTAATATTAAAATGACCCCCCAAAAAAATCATAGAACTAACATTATCTTTCACCATTTCTCATGTTATCAATGGATTTTTTTTT